CCCCCGCGGCCAAACGCAGCCCCTCGTGTCCTTCCCCGGGACGCAGCTACTTCATCGGAAAGGGTTCTGTTCCTAAACTGACAGACACAGGAGCTACCTCGACTTTCTCTAAGAAATACCTATTTTTGTAAGTTAAGTCACGCAGACCTGACTTCCCAGTCAGTTGAGCGCACGCCAGCCTCGTCTCTTACTTTGTCGTCATTCGCTGTTGGTGTAAACCGTTCTGTGGCCGTTTGGCACGTTAACCAGCTTGTTTGCAGTCGACCCGCTGTCGCGCAGGATGAGTGTGGGCAAGTGAATGATTAAAAGCACCAAGACAGTTTCAGCTGAAGAAAAGACTGGACTTGGAGTAAGCGGCCCCGTTTCCCAGCGCCCTGTTGCGGTAAGCGCTAAAGTGGCGTAATGATTACCAGCACGGGCACGAACATCCTTCTGCAGGAGGCGTGCTTACTGCTCACGGGTTTCCAGGCTCGTTAGGCGGTATCTTAAACGTATTCCGTTAAACGGTCCATCTCAGATAACCTATTCCCAGTACGATTTCTTTGTTACAGAGACTGGTTTTGAGAAGAAAAGCTGAATGTATAACATACTACAAGATAAAGATTATTGTTTGCTCCTTTGTTTTGAATCCAAGAATGCTTTTGTTTAAATACGGCATTCAGTTGCTTTTCTAAGTAGCTCACTAAATGAAACTTAATCAGCGTAGCGATAACTGGATAAATGTTAATGATTCTTCTGTACACTTAACTAGTAATGCATGGTTGACTTGTATCTCTTAGGCCAACTTGTGTTTTTTCACTACTGGAATGATTATTAAAGTTTCTAAAACGTTTTGTCCGCTGTGTTATCTGTTCTTTGAGCTGGGGCTTTCAGTAGCTCGTTTCCTTCTAAAGGAAACCATGTCATCATCTTTAGGCTGCGTTTTTCTTGGAGACCTCTAGGTTTATGATGAACGCAGATCTCTTAAATAGCTCTGTCCAGCAGCCGCGTCGCTGAGATGACACGTTCACGACCGCTCAGCCGCTGCCCCGGGTGGCGCGTATGAAATAGTCCGTTCCTTCTAGCGAGCAGGACTGTGGCTTCCGCGCCGAGCCTCCCGGAGGAGAAGGCATCCCGTGGCTTCGCTCGTGCGGCCGGAGCAGGGAGCTCTCCCGGCAGCTCCAGCTCGGCTCGAAGGGCTCGAGAGAAGCGGAGCTCCTGGGAAAGCAGGAAGGCCGGGGGTAAACAAGCCGTGACCCGAAATTGCCCCGTTTGGGTAAAAATGGTGCCAACGCCGTTTCCGATGCGGGGCGGCCTCCCTGCTGAGCGGCACGCCTCGGCCCGTGGCCGCTCTGCGGTGCGGGGCGAGCTTACGGAAAGGGAAGCCGGAGGTGGATCGCAGAGCTGGACGCGGCGCGGAGGAAGCGGGAGCAGCTCTGCCTTCCAGCGGGGCCGGCAGCGGCAAGAGACGTCCGCGGGATGCGGCGTGCACGCTGAGGTCTGGCGGCAAGTCCATCAGCCCCTGGGCTGTCGTCCGGCGGGAAAGCAGCAGCTCCCGGTGTTTCACGTGCGTCCTTAAACGCTACACAAGCGATGTTCGGTTGTGTTGCTCTTGTTTCACTTCTGTCTTCCGCGGAGGGGTGGCAGGGAGGGCACAACCGCGACTGTAACGGGCTGGGCGGTTTTATCGGTGCTTGTTTGGACAGGGAGAAGCCGTTTGCTCCGTGTGTGCGTGCAGCCTGCTGCCAAAGTCAACAGCCAGCGCTAACACCGGCGCGCGCAGCGGTCCGACGGCGGAGCGGTGTTGTCGTCGCAGCCTGCTGCCCCGCTGACGAGTGTTTCGCTATCCTACGCGCTGCCTTAGAGCAGGGAGCTAAATCCGAGGAGCTCTTTGCATAACGGCAGAGAGACGGTGGCGCTGCGAGTCTCGCAGACGGGCTTTCCCCGGGCCCCGCGCTCGGGGACGAATCCAGACCGACCGCGGCTGCTTCCCTGCCATCCCCGCGGCTGCCTCCAGGGTGTACGCCTGTTTGTGTTTTAACGCCGTTCCTGTTTACCTCGGTTTTATGGTAGCGAAAGGACCGCTACGCCTTTCCTTCGATCGCCGTGACCTAAATTATCAAGGCCAGAGCACTGAATAAACAGTAATTTGGAGCATTTACGGACAAGCCAGCCCACGCGCGCGTGCTGTTTGCTAGCACCAAGCGCGCAGCTCGGCTTACGTTGCGCGCTCCGTCCCGGCGCGGTGACGCGACAGCCGCAACCGCAAGGGCAGTTGGTATCGTTTTTGGAGGATTTTGTTCTAGCAAAGAATCGTCAGATTTAAAAATACAGCGACGCCACCTAAAGGGTTGTAAGACGAGTCGGGGCAACCTGGTTTCGCGGATCCCTTCGGAGCGGGAAGTCCAAGCGTCTGTGGCCACAGCCGCCGCTGAAGGGGCGCGGGCGGCGAACGAGTGCAGAGTAACGAGCTCGGCTCCCGGGGGGGGGACAGGGAGAGCAGAAGGGAAGGAAGACAAGGAGCGAGCCTGTATCCTCTCGAACCAGCAAAGACGAGAAGCTCCCAGAGGCCGCGATGTCCCAGAAGGAAATGTTTTAAGAGAAAGCACAGGACCCGCTGAGCCCCTGCTGGCCACAGCCGTGGCCTAAGAAATAGAAAAAAAACCCATGGCGATACTGATAGAAATAACTACGTACCCACTGAGCGAGGTTGCACCGAAGATCCCAGTTTGCTTTAAAACACTAAAAATTAGAAATCATCTCTGTAGCCAGTGAAGCGCTAAAGGGAAGGTGATTTAAGAGCCTGCAGGCAGCTGAGGAAAGGCAGCCGGCCTGGAAATGCTCCCAGCTGCTCAACAGCAGCTGGCCTCAGGTGATGGCTGTTACTTAACGATTCGGGATGCTTGTGCCCCAGCTGTCACCAATTGCTAATAAAACCCCATGAGGGTGGCTGAGAGCTGTGAAATGAGCTGGCTGAGCCGTGACGGTGGTGGTCAGCGCTGGAGTGGGGACGGGAGGCCCGGGGGGGGCTGGAAAACGGCGCGGCGTTACCGAAGGAGTCGGCCCGGTCCAACCGGCCCGTCCCCAGGAGACGTGGGAGAATCGGAAGCGGTTTGGCCGACAGGCGCATGAGCGAGATGCTGAAGGGGGCAGGACGAGAAAACCCGCGCGCGGGTTGAAGCGCGGCCCCCGCTCGGAGGGCCGGCGGCCC